AGTAAATGAGTTAACTTATATTTTTTTTGCATCATAATGTTAACAAAAATTTGTTGGCTCAATGGTCATTCCTTATTTTGGAAAGCATTAGGTTGGGGGATCAAATCCCCCCAACCTCACTTCCCTCAATATTTAAAAAAAAACAGTTACAAAAAAAAAACAAATGAAGGCCACCGGAAGCGGCCGCTGGCGCCGGAGCTCCGGCGGCCGGACACCGGGGTCCGGCCGACGACAGTGGCCGGAAGCGGCCGCCGGAGCTCCGGCGCCGGTGGCCGGATTCCGGTGAGGTAGTGGCTTTCTTTTTTTAGAAAAAAAAATTAAAGAGGGGTATTTTGGTAATTTAGCCATGATTTTATAATTACAATTTGAGACCGAGTCCCTCATGGTAATTTGGCATATTCAGGTGACCATAGAGTGATTTTGCTAATTCGAGGGTCTTTATTTGTGATTTCCCCTTTAATTTTCTAAAAAAATAATTTTTATCTCCAATTTATAATCAGAACTTGAAGTATAATTTTTTATAGATTAAAAATACTTTTTTATTGTTCAAATTTATAAATAAAATTTAGGGAAAATGGCAACACACTTTTTTAATTTTTTTTAAAAAAATTTTAATCTATATATCTATACAACTTATTATAAATCAAACTACTTCTTATAAATTATAAATAGTACAATTTATTGTGGATTAAAAGTACTTTTTGACTGCTTAAATTTATAAATGAAATTTATCTCTAATTTATAATTAAAAATACTATTTTATTCTTTAAATATAAAAACTATTTTTAATATTTAAAGAATGAAATAATATAAAATTTATACTATGATTAATAAATCAAAAATGCCTTATTATAAATACTTTATAATTTATAAGAAGTAGTTTGATTTATAATGAGTTGTATAGATATACAGATTAAAAAGTATTTTTTTAGAGAAATAAATATATTAAAAATATTTTTTATAATTTATAAATAATTTATTTTTTAAAAGTATAAAATAATTAATTGTTATAAAAAAACGTGTTGTTAAATTTTAATCCTAGACTTATTATCTTATAATCAGAACTTGTTATTTTTAAATGTATTGTTGTTATCACTTGAAACAAAGTGTATTGTTATAAAAAAAAACGTGTTATTAAATTTTAATCCCAAACTTGTTATTTTATAATCAGAACTTGTTATTTTTAAATGTATTGTTGTTATTACCTGCAACAAAATTTATTGTTATAAAAAAAACATATTGTTAAATTTTTATTCCAGACGTGTTATTTTACAATCAGAACTTGTTATTTCCAAATGTATTGTTGTTATCACCTGGAACAAGAGTAAATAAGTTAACTTATATTTTTTTTTTGCATCATAATGTTAACAAAAATTTGTTGGCTCAATGGTCATTCCTTATTTTGGGAAGCATTAGGTTGGGGGATCAAATCCCCCCAACCTCACTTCCCTCAATATTTAAAAAAAAACAGTTACAAAAAAAAAACAAATGAAGGCCACCGGAAGCGGCCGCTGGCGCCGGAGCTCCGGCGGCCGGACACCGGGGTCCGGCCGACGACAGTGGCCGGAAGCGGCCGCCGGAGCTCCGGTGCCGGTGGCCGGATTCCGGTGAGGCAGTGGCTTTCTTTTAAAAAAAAAAAAATTAAAGAGGGGTATTTTGGTAATTTGGCCATGATTTCATAATTACAATTTGAGACCGGGTCCCTCATAGTAATTTAGCATATTCAGGTGACCATAGAGTGATTTTGCTAATTCAAGGGTCTTTATTTGTGATTTCCCCAATTATAATTACTTTGCTTCCTAATAAATGTGAGAGTACACGCGCTTCAAGTCCTTGCAAGCCGGCGCCCTTTTGTTCAAGAGATCTTCAGTGTTAAGATAGACACTATCAGGTCACCCTCTGATAAACCCATATTTTATCTAATATGTTATACATTAAATTGGGATTTTATCATGATTTTTAGGATAAAATGCATTTACTATGATTAATTTAGATTAAATATGATTGTATGAAAATAGAGTTTTAAAATGGTATAATTGTACTATTTTATTATTCACTACAAAAAAGACACATGATTAGTAACGGAATTTACCGATGGAATTTTTATTTAGCGACGGAATTAGTAATGAATTAGTGACGGATTAGCGACAGAATCATATTACCGACGAAATTAGTGACAGAATTTGTTTCGTCACTAATTTTTCTGTCACTAATGGGATTACTGACAGAATTGAAATTCCGTTAATAATTACCGACGGAATTAGAGACAAAAATTCTGTTGCTAATTACTGACAGAATTTTTCTGTCTCTAATTTCCGACGGAATTTCAATTCTATTGCTAATATTTTTTTTAAAAAATAAAATGCCACCTTATCTCCGCCCCCACGTGTCGCCACCTCATCTCCACGTGTTGTTGCCACCTCACCTACGCCGTCACGTGTCGCTATCTCACATGCCACCTTGTATTGCCACATGTCGCCACCATATAATTTTTCCACAAAGTGACTTCTCCACGGCTCGAACCAAAGACCTTGTTTGTGCACGCTCGCGACTTTACCAGTTGAGCTGCAATGAACTTACTGACTTATTATGCAAAATTATATATATATATAATACTCTCTTACACAAATAATTATACACACACACATATATATTATTAGAAACTAAAAATAAACTATATGATAATTTTAATCATAACTGTTTTTGCAACAAAATAATTTTTAGATATTTGTTTTACTATTTATTTTATAATGCTTTATTTTTTTAAAAAAATATTTTAAATATAATACTAATTTCCAATGACACTAATTTTGAATTTTAAATAGTAAATAATTTTTTCATAAGTATATTTTTTAAATTTAATTATTTTATTTAACATTCATAAGATATATAATTAAATTATATATTTATTATATTAATATATTATTATATTTTATTATATTAAATATTATATTTTAGCCACGAAAATTAGTGAGGGAATAATTTTCCGTCGCTAATTCCGTGTATCCCATCGCAAAAATTCTGTGGCTAATTTTAATTATAAAATTTTACCCACAGAAGTAGCCACAAAATTTTCTAACGGAAAAAAAGTCCGTGACTAAGTTTAGTGATGGAATTTTCGTGGGTAATCTGTCAGAAATTAGCGATGAAAATTATTCCGTCACTAATTCCATTAGTAATTAGCTATCTTTTTGTAGTGATTTTTTGAATGATTAATTTTTGAAATGAAAAGTATCACATTTTATGGTTAATTTTCAATGTAGTTCCCTTGGAGGAGGGATTAGAATTAAAAGATGAAAAGAATTGTGAAAATGACAGCCGAGTACAAGAATTGAAGTCGCCGAAGGAGCAGAATTAATGCCAGAGAAGGCTGCTAACTGGAGAAACGATGGAGAAGGATCAGAATCTGAAACTCTGCATTTTTTTTTTTTTGGCACTAGAATCAGATTTTAGTGCTCCTCCTCTTCAATTCATATTAACTCGATCCATCCCTCGACTTCTCCACCACCATTCTTTATCATCTTCCTTGTCTCTCCCATTTTTTCCCAGCAAATCTTCCATTTTCTTCATCTTCTACGTGGCTAGTGAGTTGCTGCTGCTGTGAGAGTTCTTATGCGTGGCGCTGAAGCTGATCTTCCTCTCTTAATTAATAGGAATATGGGTTGATGGGTGATTCAAGTATGGGTTCATCAATGCCTGGGCCCAACAGTAACATTGCTCCTTCCAGTCATGAGGCATTTCCCACAACCTTGAAAAAATTGTATTAATACATACTTGAACGCGAACAATCCAAAACATAGGAGATGAGGTGAGGTGAGATCAAGTACGGACAGAAATTTCATAACAAAAATATATTCAGTGCTAAAAATCAAGTAAGCACACCACCTATGAAATTAAAAAATGTTGGCAGCATATTAATTTAAACATTTTCAAATCTAATAATCTCAACTTTTTGAGATTACGCCTTCCTTTCATCCTTCTTATAAGTACTTAAAAATAAATTAATTTTCCCTTTATTTTAATAATTATGCTCCTCTGTCCCTCTCCCTTCCCCCCCCCCATTCTTCTAATTTTAAGGCCATTTTTTACAAAATTATTAATTTTTCGATTTGGTAAAATGTCTCATAAATAGAAATGCCAAAAGCTTTTAAATTTCGAAAAGGAATGAACTCAGTACTTTACTCTTAGTTGTTTCCTATCTTTTCATTGATGGTAGGGCAAAGCCTAATTTATGTCAATATACATGCAACTAGTTAATTAATTGGTTATTAGATGAAGGAAATAATTAATAATTTGAAAGTTCGGCTATGCATGTTTGTTAGATACAGCTGCCAAGAAAATGGAGTAGAGTGTATCCATAGTTTCAAACCGGCCAATAATATACAAGGCTTGGCGTCTGGGTCTTGAAAAGATATACGTACCAAATAGCTTGTTGTAGGAACCTTCTTTCTTATGGAAAGAGGGGACTTTGAGACTATAACATATCAAGAGCTCCATTACACAAAATAAAATGATATTGAAAAAATATTCCCTAAATGATATTTAATTTTCAGATTTCAGTTAACATAAATGAAATTCTAAAACGAATCAAGATGCGCTTCTAGTTGTTGTTGTTGTTATTATTCTGAGTTAGATACAAGCGGACTTATAGTTTTACGCCAATGTGTTTCATTATCAAAACTATATTTCAAACTTTGAAAGCAAGGTTATGGGAATACAACAGAGACCTGTATGGGCCTGCAGAATAATACTGGCCTGTATTTCTAATTTACCCAAGTTTAAAATTTGAAGAAAAATCTTGTAGACATTTGAAAGATAAATAATCATCAATATGTAATATATTATTTATATAAAGTACGCTATTTATCAACCCCAAAAAAAAAAAACAACCACTAACATGACAAAGAAAAAGATAATTATAAAAGCAACTGCCGCACGATATATTGCTTTTCTCTTGCCGACAACACAGGCGGGCATTAATTGGGGCAGATACAGATCGATCAGCAGCGACTTGTGGACTTCCGCTTCTTGGCAAGATACAAAGTCCGGATGCAAGGAATCAGAAGCATTAGAATGAAAGACATCACAGCAGTCAAGGCAATTCCAAAGACAGTGACGATCTGCAATCCCGATGCCAAAAGATGGTCTGGGATCATAAAGTCGAGGGCGCTGAGGTATGCAAATGCAAGAGAGAAGAGAGTGAGCAATATGCTCGGTGGTAGAATCCATACGACTGCACTGTTCTGCAAAGGAACTCCACTTACAAGCAAGAGGGTGACACAAATTGATCCGTAGAAAGAGAGAGTAATATCTTCCACATACACCCAAAATCTTTGTTGGTCACGAAAGGATGAGACTGCTTGGCCGGGACAATACTGATGAAGATCATTAAGGGTGGTGCAGTTGAGGGCGCCAGATGATGATGAGTTTGAGGCATTGCCTCGGGATAATAAGCCTTGTTGAATGAGGCCTCCTGGTGGATTAATTAAAGCTTGAAAGCTTACAGTTGCTATGAAAACAGATGCCGCCCTCACATTCCCCCTAATCTCTTCTACAAAATTAGTAGTATCCCCAATACTTCATCCAACATAGCATCCATTTAAAAATCTTCATAAAATAATTTCCTTCCATGTTGTTGTCCTTTTCCAACATGGGTTTGATTTCATCGATTTTCCAGTTTTTTGGACAAATATATGTGAGCATATCGCGGCCTGTAAGGCCTTCCCTGTTCTTCTGGTTTCTTATTTCTGGAATTGACAGCACATACCTGACAACCTAAATACAAACACGTTGGCAAGGTATTCGGCTCATTTGCATGCCATTTGTGAATGCATTGTGCTCATAAATAACCATGTTCTTATATATTCATATCAGAACTAGCCAATTGTTGTATGTTAGCATATTTATTGATATGCCACTAACTCACAATAAACTCCTGAAAAAGTAAGAAAATCAAAACAAATCTGTATGTTTCTTCATAACAAGATGAAGTGAATCAACATGTTGGAAAAATGTTTATACATTTTTTTTTTTTTTTGGTCATGTAAGCCTTTGGCTACTAAAAAGAAAAAGGAAACTGTGACCACAACTCAGAAAAAGAAAAGATAGAAGAATAAAGTATGTATCAGGTACCTCATCTCGCATGTACGTGATGGCTAAATGGAGAATGGTGTTTCCCGCCCGATCAGGGAGCTTAAAGATAGGAGCACGGGGCGCGCCTACAGTAATATTGGCAGTGGCATGGTCGAATTTCACCGATGCTTGCGGAGTCTTGAAATGGTTGTATGTGACACACAAGTGAAAAACTGTGTTCTTTTCTGGGTCAAGATGACCTAGGGAATCTGGCCGCGCTATGACCAACGCTTCCACAACCTCTGTCCTCCCCCTCATAACTGCATAGTGCAGAGGAAGTCTTTCTTTTCTATCAGCAACCAAGCATGGCTCATCATTAAATTCTAGCAGTCTCTTCACGGCCTCCAAGTTATCCTCTGCAGAAGCCAAGTGGAGGGCTGTTCTTCCAGCAGAATCCTGTCTAATGGCGAGGTCGCGATTGCGATTGAGAAGAGCCTCAGTGAATGAAGCATGATTAAGCAGTGCAGATATGTGTAAGGGAGTTTCACAGCCGTCATCAGGAATCTTGTCAAGGATTGATGCGTTTTGCTGTAACAAATGCTCCAAAGCTCCTACATCCCCGCAACGTGCTGCCCGATAGAGATCTCTGTTCATTTGGTCCGCGCAAGGTACATTGATGCGTGCCATCTCTTGTGTGAGACAATGCTCACTAGCTATATGGTACCCTTTACATATAAATATGGCGTGTTACAATCTTGCAAATCATGTGCACGGCCTTTTCTAATAATATTACCAGAAGAAACCGAGCGCAAAAATAGATGCTGGTTTCTCTCAAATGTCTCATTTAATTTATATTAAAACTATCCTCTTAATGAAAAATTCTTTTTAATGTGTGCGCTATTAATACGGGATGGTTTCAGAAAAAAATATAAATGTAGAAAATAAACTGAACTAGGATTTTATATTCAGGATTATTAAAGTTAACTACCTTAATATATCTCTTACACATTACTAGAAAAAAGGTTTTTTTTTTTACCCCGACTAGAATGAGCATTTGACTTCGAAAAGATGACTAGTGTAGAAATGAGTGCTATTAAAAGTCCAATCTTTTTACACCGGTAGCAAAACTGGTATAAAAAAAAATTACTATTAACATCGGTTGTTGTTCCAGCCAATGTAAAAATAAAATTAAAAAATTAAAAAAAAATATCTATGATTTTATGAGATATGATAAAATCCCGTCGAAGCTTATTTAAACGCAGCTTCTTATGAAATCCAGATCTCATAACATCATAGCAAACAATCCAACAATCCAACAAATAAGAAATAGCATAAGAGTAGAAATAATCAGATCTAATGAAACTGTAAAAAAAAACTAGCCAAGTTTTTCAGCAATGATATTGATTCATATCGATTTGTACACTAAAAATATATTTGTTAGGCAAAGTTCAAAATTATTCATCAAACAAACAAATAAAAAAAGAGTATAAATTTAAAACAAATAAGCAGCAATAAAAACGAGTACAAATCTAGGTGAATATGAGAATTTGGATACTATGAGCACAAATCTGGATGGATATGCACAAATCTAGATGGTGTGAGTATGGATCTCTACATGACGATTATGGAAAAGTTGTTGAACTTGAAGAAGATGACGAGTATAGAAAAAATGAGGTGCTATAAAGAAAATGAACATGAAAAATACATAAGAACACAAAAGAGAAGAGCATGAAGAAAAATACTAGCATTAAAGTTACTAATAAATGAAGCATAGAAAGGAGTCTGCCAGAAAACTTTAAAAGATTATGAGAAAATGAAATCTGGTTTAGAAGAGGTGGCCGCATAATGAAATAGGTTAAACTTTTAGGATTTAAATCACCTTCTAAAAGCTTGTAAATATTTTAAAAACTTTTCACACCAGTTATAATAAATATATGGTGTAGGAAATATATTTTAGATCAATTACGTGAGAAACCGGTCTCAAGACTGACTGACAAATATGTTACATTCGCCACCACGTGCTGCCCGATAGAGAGCACTGACATCTCTGATCATTTGGTTTTCACTTACGCTGCCGTCGCGTTGGATAAAGCTCTTTATTTTGCCCGGTGCCTTTTATAGAGACATGGCTATCTCATCGCTACTCATCGCTACTCATCGCTACTCCTTCGTACAAGGCTCCCTTGATTTAAAAAATTATTTAATTATTTAATTATAACAAATATTATATTATTTTTTTAAATACTCATATAGATCATTTTAAGTGAAGCAAATTAGTTCAGAAAAAAATGATAAATAAAAATAGTTTAAAAAATGACAAATATAAATAGTTTAAAATAATTTAGTAACTTTTTAAAATTTTTTAAATTAATTAATTGGGTTTTATATTAGAACTTGATGTAGGACATAATCTTGCTCACCCTCCACTTATCTGTATTATACTATCATGCACCAATTTTAATTTTCTGATTTTTTCCATAAAAACAACTAATGGGTATTATAATAGCAAAACGTAACAACATTAAAAATCTTTAATAGCAAAATATAAAAAATCTATATACACAATAATAATTTAATTGCAATAAATAAATAATACAAAAATATTGAGAATACTATATTTAGTATAAAAGTATTTGATTTGGTTATTAAAAAATATTTTGACAAAAATAAATTTTAAACAGTAAACTTACTACATATATGTAATATAATAAAAGGAACTCCATGATCCATCCACTTTTTTTCGGCTCGACTTCGCTCTTGTTTCTTTAATTATATAATACTCTATGCATTTATATACGACGAGAGATTAAAAAAATCAAATTTAAGGCTTTGGAAAACCAAAAAAAAAAGAAGAAAAAAGTCATACCAGAGCCGCAACATAGAATCTAACGATGCATGAGTTCATTATACTTTAGTCTACACCCATCTTTTCTTCTTGCTTTCCGAAGATAGACTATTCTTCTTCCGCTTTCTTCTCCTTCAATTTTCTATCAAATTTATCTCTCTTTCAGTCTCCACCCATCTTTTCGCAGATTTTGCCCTTGTTATTATTCTTTGAGTTATAAACAAGCAGACCTATAGTTCTGCACCAATTTGTTTCATTATCAAACTATAAGTCTGCTTTTTATTATCAAAACTATGTTTCTATTTTTTTGTTCACAGAAAAAGGAACTATATTTCTAACTTTACATGCAAGTTCTCGGGAATGCAATAGAGACCTGTACAGGTCCTGCAAAATAATACTGACATATATTTGCGTAAATTTTCGTTTGGAGCTCATACTCATGAGCATTAATTAATTATCTCGACTTTTGACTTGATAATCGATTCTTTGAGCATTATTAATTTAATAATTCCAACTTTTCACTTAGTAATTGGATTGGAGTGGATGCTGCTTAATAATCACCCGAATTAGCATTTAGCACAAACTTACTGCCGATCATGTCTTCGTCATTATTTGTTTTATACTTTTTAAAAAATTAATATGCAACATCATTAGAATTTTTCTTTATTTTGACTCAAGTTTTTGTGGTTTATTTTATTTGAATTGAGGCCTTATTATTTAATTTAACATCATAATTTTGAATCATTAGAATTAACATTCTTTTCCTCAAAACCAAGAGGAATCCACCTCCACAAAATTTATTTCGACCATAGATATCATGATGCATGAATTATGTGATTGTAAAACAATACTGCTAATACAACGAACATACTTTATCGAAGACTATTTGGGGGTCCCGAATACGGGACTACTTGATATACTCCACTGGTAATTTTAAATTTAACATAATTTCCAGACCATATAATTATTAGAAATTGCAACATATTAGAACACAACTCTTTCTCATGCACGTTGGTTGTTCCAATTTACTCACTCATAGGAGTCAATATATATGTTTCAAGTAGTGCCTCGGTTAAAAGAAGGAAAAAAAAAATGGCAGTGTCATTTTCAATATGATGGTGGTAATGATGTAAGCCTTGGTAGCTAGGTGCTCTTGTTTATTTTGGAAGATGCTCGGAACTCGCATTACATGCTACTATCTTCTCTTTTAATATAAGAAGTTAAAAACTAAATAACTAATTTGTCGATATTAAAAAAATTAGTTTGATTAGTTATTTATAATAAATAGATATTATCTTTTTTTAAAATATCATTCCTAATAATTTGCATTAGAATTACTTTTTAGTGAAAATCTTTAACATATGCATAATTATTATAAAAATTACTCGGGGACAAAATTAATATATACAGGAGCTAGGACCTGATTGAATATACATCTGCTGGAGGTAGTACTTTGTAGTTTTACAACAATCATATTCCTTTTAGCACAAGAAACTTCTCTAGGATACATCATGACATAAGGGCCATCCTCAACCTTTTAAAAAGAATTTTATGTGTGAAGTTGGGGGGGGGGGAATACGACAGCACCGACATGACTTTATCCTTCCCTCTCTACAAAATGTTTGGTAAAGCGCATATATAAACAAAATGTGAAAAAAGATGTGTGTGTGTGTGTGTGTGTGTGTGTACTGGCCATCATCGGTGAACAAGATAGATTTATCCCATTGTTTGTTTTCCATATTCTAAATTTGGAAGAAACTGAACAAGTGAAGGATTAAACTCACATATATGGACCATACACAAAGAAAATAGGTAGAAACGAATGAAAGATGAGTCTTATATATGGACCCTCATACAAGCTATATAAAGTATATCAACGAGGTTTGTGGTCTGTGTCTGGAAAAGAATACGGACCATATAGCTTCTTGTGGAGGACCCTTCTTGTGGAATGATAGGACTTTGAGCAGATATTAGCTCCATTACATAAAAGAAAAATTAATTAAAAATAAGTTAACGCCAAATATTTCTTAAATAATACTACTTTCGGTTTTTAATATAAGAACTCGTTTAACTTTTATTTTGGTATTAAATATACGACCCTAATCCACTTTGTCTCTCATATTTATTCATTTTTTTTCCAAAGGTAATCCTTGTAACAATATTAGTTCTAACTAATACACTTGATTAGCAAGAATAGTATAGGGAAAAAAACACATATTTATTACAAATTACTAACTTAACTAGTTTTTTTAATATACTCAAATGAGTCAATTAGCTTTTCTATTAAAGATCAGAGATAGTGTTACTATTTGATATTTATTTTTTAATTAACATAAATAAAATTTAAAAGCGAATTAAAATGCCCCTCTAGTTGTTGGTTTTTTCTTTCAACGAAGTTTTTTTAATTTATAAACCGGAGAAATTAATATTAGAGACCTATGTTGCGTAGATTTTCGTTTGGAATCAGCTTTATGAGCATTATCTCGACTTTTCACTAAATATTAATAATTCAATTTTTTGGGAATTATTAATTTTGTTCCCACTTCTTTTACTACCAAATCTTTCACTTTCTACATCGTTGTTGGGGAATTGGGGCCACTCTTTCGTGTGGAATTGAAGGTTATTTCATAACAACCCCGACTACCACAAAATTATCGTCAATCATACCCCGTTACTTTTTTAGATTAAGTGACTATTTGGTTCATCCAAAAAGCAATTTTTAAAACTACTTTCACTTAGTTTAAGATAAAACTCTTATCACATATTTATTTCGTATACTATAAAATTACTTTTAAAATATGGTTTGGTTTCACCCAAACATTCATTAAAATAAATTATAATTACCTTGCCGCCTATTCAAAATGTGAGAGTATCAGTACCCGGCGCTCCATTACACGCGCTGCTGTGACATTCAAGTGTTCCTATGCAATATGCACGGCGCTGAAACCCCTCTTCCCGTCTTAATTAATAGAAATATGGGTTGTTGCGTGATTCAACTATGGGTTCATCAATGCGTGGGCCCAACAGTAACATCTGCTCCTTCCAGTCATTGGACATTTCACACAACCTGAAAACGACATTTGAATATACACTTGAAAGTGAACAATCCAAAATATAGGAGATGATCGAGATGAGGTGAGATCAAAGAGGCATTTTTCTCACTTTCACGAAGAAACCATTTCACATTAATTTTGAGATCAACTAAATCGATTCATTAGATTATTAAGACATGACTACGTTAATTATACTAGTATTATCAAATGTTTTGTCCTGGAGATGAAATCTCATCCTTTCGTTGCGCAGTTTTGATTATCACGCTTGGAGCATCTTGTATGGCCTGAGCGGGATTGCTTGCACTAATTATATGCTGTTTTAACATTTTTATTTTGGCTTGCGAAGAAATGTGTCAGCATAATCAGCACGACCAAGGAATCAATGAGAACATCTCTTGTGTTTTTTTTTTTTTTGACCTGCAACATATGGTGTTAATGTCATATGATTTGTCAATATGTTTCTTACGCATGTTGTTTGGCACTGAGTGACAAACAGTGTGGGTTATTTTTTGAATTAGGGGGCGTTTGGAATATGCAAAAAAACATTTCTGAAAAGTATTTTCATGCAAGTTGAGACAAAACTCTCTTCACATGTTTATTTCATATATTGTATAATTACTTTTAAAATTATGATTTGCTTTCCACCCAAATTTCCTCTATATATTACTCATACATGACTGGCAAATTTCTATTCAATTATCTTATTGTCTTGAATGGGCCACCCCAGTAATAGACTGACATATACTCAAATTTATTTATTTTTTTAAAAAATTTTTTGTTTGAATGATATCTACTTCTCAATTTATAAGCTTAACTATTTAGTCTAGGGTTGGCTTTGGCTTAAACCCAGATTTATTAGACAAAATATGAATATTTTCCGGTTGCTAGCAATTTCATTTTAATACATGCAACAAAACACTACAGAAATCTGTATGTGAATAATAACAATATAAAGATAATAATAATCCTAAAACCAACGTACAGAAGGCATTAATTGACAGATGATCATTCAAATCAACAATATCCATTAATTCTTACTCCTTCCACTTCCATAGTACGTACATCTAGACATGTTCTTTGATTATCCTCACACACTTTTTCACAACCCAAATGAATATGCGCAGTAAATGGAATACCACTGCAGTTAGCAGACACAATGCAAAAAACATCATGGCTGATGCTCCGTATGGGATCGAAGTTATTGTATGATACGAAAGATGGCCTGGGACCACAATGTGGAGAGCAACAACGTATGCACATGCAAGGAAATAAATGGTGCAACACATGCCCAGTGATAGGATCCGTATGACGACTTTGTTCTTCAGAGGAACCCCACTCACAAGCAAAACAGTGACACCAAGTGATGACATGAAGGAGACGGTATTGAAGATTACAAAACACTCAAAACATCCTGGGGAATGAAAGGACGAGATTGCCTGTCCAGGACAAAAAGTCTTATCTTTAAGTTTGGTGCAGTCGAGAGAATCATGGAATGATGATGGCATGTTGTTATTAGGAGATAAGCCTTGTTGAATGAAGCCACCAGGTGGATTAACCAAAGATTGAAAGGTTATAGTTGATGTCACAGTAGACACTAGACTCAGATTTCCCCTTATCTCTTCTAACCAATCACCCTTGTGTTCAAACCAGTTTCCAATCCTCATAAAACACACCCCAATGCACTTCAACATCGTAATACAATAATTATCGTTTCGGGATCTTGCTATTGGATAGTCAATAGCATCTGGTGGTGTGTGTGGATGAGTAGTCTCAAATCCATTCTTGTCGGTCTTCTTCGTCAACATGAGCTGTATTTCACAGATTTTGAAGTCTTTTGGACTGTGTTCTATGATATCTTCAACTGTTAAACCAACCTTATTCTTCAGGCTTCCAACTTCTCTGATCTTCGGAATCGGCACAAGATACCTTATAGCCTAAATAACATTAACAACCATGTTCATGAAGTATATTGGAGATATGCCAAATGATTCCGCCAAGTATTTTGTAGAAAATTAAAACACTAGAATTCCATTAAAAGACCTCAAGAGATGCATCGCAAAATTTGTGCTTACTGGAAAGAATCTGACAAACACCTTAAAACACACTATACGTAGCGCTAAGAATAGGGCGTGTAGTAGAGAAATTGTTAGCACAATCGATTAAAAAAAAAAAAAAAAAAAAAGCATAGAGAGACGACCAAGAAAGTATATATATTGTACCTCAAGTCGCTTCAACATGACAGCTAAATGGAGAACGGTGTTTCCAGAATTATCAGAGCTTGTAAAGTTGAAAAGCTGGCCAGTGATGGCAGACTCCAATTCCACCAAAGCTGTGAGAGTCTCTAAATGGTTGTATGTGACACAAAGGTGAAAAACAGTTTTTCCATTGTCACGAAAACTCAGAGATTCAGGCTTCGCTTTGATCAACTCTTGCACAACCTTTGTTCTGCCTCTCATAGCTGCATAGTGCAGAGGAATTCTTCCTTCTTCATCAGGTTTCAAGCATGCTTCATTGTTTACTTTAATCAGTTCCTTAACGACGTGGATGTGACCCTCTGCAGAAGCTAAGTGGAGGGCTGTTCTCTGAGAGGAATCCACCTCAATGGCTAGATTAGGTTTGAGAGTGATCAGTTCCTTTGTGAATTGAAGATGGCCAAGCAAAGATGATATGTGTAAAGGAGTTTCAGTGAAGGTGGTTTGTGAGATGTTGTGCAAGATACGTGGGCGTTGTTGTATCAATGAATTGAGCGTAGAGACATCTCCACTATATGCGGCCTCATAAAGAAGGCTCATTTGGCCACAAGAAGTTGTTATTTGGTTGAGTTCAACTTCCATCTCTCGGGTTACATAATGCATCATTACACACTGCCTATATATAGTTAGGTTACCCTAAGAATCCTGCACACTTGGAGTACTTCTCAGTATCACTGCATTTTATTCTTGTATTTTTTTTTAAATAAAATGACAATAAATGCGATAACAAGACTCTGATCACATATAACCGCATTTTTTTTTTATTTTCTGCAAGGGCTATATATATGAATGTTTGGATCCTACCTCTCAATTTTTTTTTTCAAATAAAAAAAGACAATAGATACGAGGACAAGACTCTGGTAAAGACAACAAATGCGACCACAGGACTCTGATAACGCAACCACATATTTCTGTCGGTCACCAAACCATATGAGTGTTCGGGTCCTACCTCCTCTCATTTTTCTTCCTCGTCAAGATGCCCATGATTTTGTTTTTTTTTGGGGGGCGAACCAAGGTATTCACAAACCATTTTGATGGCCTTAAAACTAATATTTATCACCTAAGAAACGTTCAAGCTAAAGTACTTCTAACAAATGTTTTTTCTGAAATTCTGCTCTTTTCCTTGCAGGACCAAAGATTCCGTCACCTCTTTCTTCGTGAGAAATGGAGGAAGGAATCTTCAGTTACTTTAGTGTTGTGTAAGCCAGTTCCAAGCAAATAGAGGTGGGAATACAGATCGGCCTTATAAGGCTACCGGATTTAAAAAGACCGATTCTAAGAGTCGAAATTTTAAAAATATTTCAATTTATTAGGCCCGGTCCTTAAACTAATGGGTTCAAGGTAGACCCACGGGTTTTGGACTCGTTTAAGAAAAATACTATTTTTTATATTTTTAAATATTTTTTAATTAAAAATGAAAACAAACTAATGAAATTATTAATAAAAGACATAAATAAGAATAAAATTAAGTCACAAACATAAAATATCATTATATATAAATATCCATCAACATCTAAAACATTCATTAACAAGATGATAATATCTAAAAGCTTCATCTATAGTGCAAATGTACAATAAACAAACACTATCATTAATCTTTTGAAATTTTATCATCACTATAATCAATTATTCTTTTTAATAAGTATGCTTTTCCTTCGTAACAAAAACATCAAATTTTTCTTCTTTATAAAAATTTCATTTTTAAATTTTGCAGTCTAGTTATTATTTTACTTTAGTTTGAGAAACATTGTTGTTGAAATTCATAAATTTCTAATTCAAATTATAAAATTACAAATTATATAAGTATAAAAATACTCTCTTATCAAATATTTATAATTTAAAAATATTAACATATATAATATAAATCAAATCATTATTAAACTATTTTTTAAAAATTTAATTGGATAAATTATTGTCTAAAACTAAATAAATCAAACTATTTGGTGAAATTTAATTTTAAAATGGTAATAATAACTAAATATTTGAAATATTATTAACAATGTAAAAAATTAATAATATTATAATTACATAAAAAATTTAAACAAAAAACAAAAAAATTATAAAATGGTCTAAACAGGTCAGCTCGTTTAGCCCTAGCCTATTTCCCATTTTATGGGAAAACTTCAAACCCGGCCCTCATAATTTTCAGGCCTGAATGGGCCAACCTGACGGGTTCGACTGGTTTTTCCGGTTCTACCAACAAAACGTCAATTCCATTAGATGAGTCAATTATTTCTTTTTTTTGAGAAACAACGTACTCAGCCATATCCCTAACGCAACCAGCTTCTTAATCCTTCATCAGGAGGCTCAACCAGGGTGTTGGTTTGAAGGAAGTTCCACTTGGCATATGAGTCAATTATTCAAAATTCAAAGCTCAATAGTTAACTCTCTAACTTTCACTTCCTGCTTAGCTTTCATAGCAAGGGTCAGTTTCTGATCAACATTGATGCGTGATCCATCCATTTAATTTATATTTTTGGCCTTGCATTTAATTGGTTACATAAAAGTAATAATTTATAATATAAATTATATCGATCCTGTTTATATCTTACAAAGTGTGAGAAAATTCTTGATGTATTGGAAACTGCGTTATTCATAAACAAACTTCATCCTTATTTTGATGACAAAATTTACCCTAAATTTTATATTGGGTTCTTAGTTTTTAAAATTTGATACCAGTTCTTGAAATTTAAAATTAATAATTATAGTCTTTGAAACGTTGCGTTGAGAACCAAAACGCTGTTGCGAAGATTAAAAACCTTTAAACAAATAAAAAAATGAGTTTAAATTTTAGGTTTTGAAGTTATTGGTCTCAGTTTTAAAGACTAAAATCAAAATATATAAAGTGAAATTTCAAGAAGTAAAAATATATTTACCTTGTTATATTTTGGATGTATGAGTTTAGCTCTCAGTCAAAGAACACTTTTTTTTTTTACCTTGAATGCAATCCAAATGAAGTCATGTCATTGAGGACCCTGAAATTGAAAAGTCTCCGTCAGTCCATGTACAGTCAACATTGTACAAGTATTGTCCTATTATTGTATGGGAGAATTACAATTAAGTCACACTCAAGGGAATTAAATATAAAAAAGTCTTTTAAAATCATAAAATTATTTTGAAGTCTTAATAGACCTTTTTGTAATAAATTTTATTTGTTTAATTACCAAATTACTTTTCTTTTTTTTTAAAAAATTTGTATTAACAACTCAAAGAGCAATGATTGACAACTCAGGATATAAGAATTGACAACTATTGCAGCTGGTTTGACAACACATTTTCTCAGCATATCATACCATAAGTTGTCAAACCAGCTGCGATAGTTGTCAATCCTTGCACCCTGAGTTGTAAACCACTGCTCTTTCAGTTGTCAATGCAAACTTAAAAAAAAAAAAAGAAAGGTAATTTGGTAAGTAAATAAAAAAATTTCATGCAAAAGTTTTTTTGGGACTTTAAAATAATTTCATGATTTCAAGGGAATTTTTTGTATTTAATTCCCTTGAGTGGACCTAATTGTTATTTTCCAATTATATTTCTCTGGTCTTTAATATAAAATTTATTTAATTAATTTAATTAGATTAAGAAAGTTAGATAAGTTAGTTAATTATAAGAAATGTATCAAGTTTTTCCAAAAACACCATAATCATCTTTTTTAATATCCTTCGTTCCTTTTTTACTTGATTATAATTGAGAGAGTATTTATAAGAATTATTTAGAGAAAATTGATAAATATGATAAATATATCTTATATTTAGAATCAAAATTAATTCAACGTCATATATTAGGGATCCGGGGGAGTAAATATTATAAGTGGGGATCAATAGTCAAAAGTCATGAATCTTCCGAAAGTGCCACTAGTCACATATTTTATTTCCACTATAAACGGTGTAAATGGGGCAGTGTAAAAATCACATTTTGTATTAATGCTTGAACGAGTTCTTTCCCCCCCCCCCCTTTTGGGTGAGGAGGAAGGCTTTTAGTATTTGAATTTGCTTTAATATAAAAAGGAAAAGGGTATGAGCAATTAGTCCTTGTTTTGATCGCTTTGTTTCTAGACCGACTTTTTATTTTTAAAAAATACAAACTGAAAAAAAAAAAACATTTTTAGTAATGAGTTCTTGGTGAAGTAGTATTCTTTGGGGGGGGGGGGATTGTGTTGCGAAAAATTGGCAGCAGAATGCTTACGGAAGATATTTGTTGAGCCTTGTGTAATCCTCTACAGGTGAGACTTATGCGGGAAGCAGGTTATGAGACTAGAAATTTGGATGCTGCTTCTTCCCTTCTTTATTATAAGAAACAATTGCTAAAATTACGCAGTTCAAAATATTAGTTAAATTTAGTTAAAGGCAATAATATATAGGATGTACACATGTTTTTTTTTTAAAAATTATATCCTTATTTATAAAAAGAGTATATAAGAGATAATAAATGAAAATTTATTACAGAGAGATAATAAGTAACATATATTTAATAAGAGTAAAAGTGAAAAGACCAATTCAAAATTTAGACAAAAAATTTGTTTATTATATTTAGGTACATTATTACTATGAGAGATTATTTCTCATTATTTAGGTACATTATTTCTCATTAAAATACATGGCCATCAAGGCCATCTATTTTGATCGAGTGCCTCATTCTGGCTCTCATGATATATTCGTTAAGGTTTAACTGAACCTGGTTTTATTTATTTTTCTTTTATCAAAAGCACAAAACCTGGTTTTATAAGCCTGAATTGTAAAGCTTGAAAGCGTCATATTTGGACTTGGGCTTAGTTTTAAGCATTTCTATTCAAGCCCAATCTTTAGTGCCATTGCTTGTTTATATATTTATATGTGGAATTTAAAATTAAAATACTGTACAAATATTGTTGCTTTTCAAATTTATGCATTTTCTTAAAAAGAAAACATGCTGTATTAATCTCTGTGCATTGCAACCAAAGTATAAATGTCAGTTTTTTTTGCCACCATAAGCATCAAATTTTGTAGAGACCTGTAATAATTATCAGCAGCAGTTAATAATTAATAATAAATCAATCTGTTTTTTTTTTAAATTATAGAGACTTCTATAGTTACTATTAACATATTTATTAATTTTTAATTTCCTTTTATTATAAAAAATAAAATATTTTAGTCTTAAATTTAACTTAAATAATTTTTTCCATTCAATTTTGGACCTATCAATATCATTTGCGGAGTACCCCTCGTCCGTGGGTTCAGCTGGCGAAGGGGTCGGACTCTCTCACCAAAGGGAGGGGGTTCGATCCTGGTGCCACTTTGTTGTGGCTCCAGTCGCGCGCTAGAGGCATCTCCACAAGCGTATGAAACTGGGTGATTCCTACTTTTGGCCAAAAAAGGGCTTGCTTGTCATGCTCCCTCCATAGGGACAGGCCCCAGTGGATCAAGCGTTAGGGGCCCTACTCTTGGATCGTGGGTGAGCCCGACCCCTTTCCTAAAATTTTTCAATCAAAAAAAAAAATCATTTGCGGAGTATACGATTCCCATGGGACGCTCCACATGTGATCATGACTCCAGGCACTGGATAAGGGTTTCCACGTCACTTGCGTGTTCGGACAACACGTCGCCTTCCTGACAATCGTCCAACAAAAACCTCTGTTTTCCCGAAAAAAAGCAAGTTTGGCCCTCATCCAAAACCGACACGTGTCCGTTTATCTCGACCCTTCCGGCCATGCTCTGCCGCGAGATTCCCGCCAACGGGCGCCTCCGTTTCCGGTTACCGGTCTCCCTTTCTCTCTCAAACCGTACCACCAGCGAATCGAAACCTTAGCATTATTCTCTCTCAGGGATGAGTTTCTATAACTTCCATTGCGGCCTCGCCATTTTTTGTATTCGCTAAGGAAACATGCTTGTCTGATGTTGGTGGATGGCTTGAATTTTCCGGCAAGCTTGGATTCTTCGTCGCCGGTGGCGAGGATGACCGGCTCCCCGGTATGATGCGGTTGTGATTCCTTGTTTGTTTACTTGGAAATGTTAGATCTATTCATCGTGGCTCACGTTCGATCAAAAACCTGGTTCCACAAGAGAAAAAAACTGGCTTCATTTGGTTGATTCCTTCTGATGTTTTCTACGAAATCGGATTGCCAATTGTACAGCTCGTACAGTTAGATCTTTTTTAAAAAGAATTTTCCTTCTTTGTTTTACGTGTTCCTTGTTGGGTTTTTGAGAATGTACAGTCAGTGTTTGAGATGACGAGGTTTGAAAGAAGTTGAACCATCTTCTTATTCTGGGTTGTTTCTGGCATTTCGGTGTAGCTTTTGAGGGTTATAAAGTGGCGAAAATGAGCATGAGTGAGAGCGATGCCGAGGAAGAATCGACACAAGAAGTTCAAGTCCCGGCTGATATTGATTGGCATATGCTTGATAAATCGAAGTTTTTCTTCCTTGGTGCTGCCCTTTTCTCAGGGGTTTCAGCAACTCTGTACCCGATTGTTGTATTGAAAACGAGGCAGCAAGTAGCTGAATCCCGAGTTTCTTGTATCCAAACTGCACTTTCACTTATTAGGAATGAGGGTTTTCGAGCATTGTACAGAGGTTTTGGTACTTCCTTGATGGGTACAATTCCAGCTCGAGCACTATATATGGCTGCCCTGGAGATTACAAAGAGTAATGTAGGCACTGTCACGGTTAGGTTAGGGCTTGCCGAACCAACTGCGGCTACTATCGCCAATGCTGCTGCAGGTTTGAGTGCTGCCATGGCAGCTCAACTCGTGTGGACCCCCGTTGATGTTGTGAGCCAAAGGTTGATGGTTCAAGGTGGTTGTAATTCAAATAATCCAAAGGCTTCGGCACATCTATATGTCAACGGGATTGATGCATTCAAGAAAATTCTGATCACAGATGGTCCCAGAGGTTTGTATAGGGGGTTTGGGATATCCATTTTGACATATGCACCCTCAAATGCAGTTTGGTGGGCTTCATACTCTGTTGCGCAAAGGCTGATTTGGAGTGGAGTTGGTTACTACTGGGGCAAGAAAGATGATAAGAACAGCGATTCTGTGGATGATGTATTAAGGCCAGATTCGAAAACTGTAATGGCAGTTCAGGGAGTCAGTGCAGCAATGGCTGGTGGCATGTCTGCCCTCATTACAATGCCACTAGACACGATCAAGACAAGACTTCAAGTCTTGGATGGTGATGAGAATGGCCGTCGAGGACCAACAGCTATGCAGACTGTGAGGAAATTGATTAAGGAAGGTGGTTGGATGGCCTGCTACAGAGGGTTGGGACCTCGATGGGCTTCAATGTCAATGTCTGCAACAACAATGATCACCACATATGAGTTTTTAAAACGGCTTTCAACAAAGAATCAAGAAGTTCTGACAAGGTAGAAGATTTACAACAAAAGAGAAAACAGAGAGAAAAGAGGTTTTTCCCCCTCTCTTCTGTGTCTAACTCTTCTTACTCTCCTCTTATCTCATCTTTCCCTCACTTTTTTGCCTTTTCACCTTTACCTAGCCAGCATGACTGCTTGGTCAATGTAGGTTATTGCTGGTACCTTCATATATATGTGTGTGTGTGATGGAAATAAATATTTTCTTCCAATGCACCTGTGTTTTTTGAGTCTCGGTTGAAGCTATGCAAATGCTTAGCTGTGGTGTCAAAGTTGGACGGTTCGGTGTCAAGCCATAGATGACTACTGTTGGGAAAATCTAATCATGCGACTGTAGGGAAACCTTTGTTTAATTTCTGGATATTGATATCAAAGAGTTCTTTACAGTTGAATTGAAGCATAATTACCCAGGGTTTGAAAAACTTTCTACCTTCTGATTACTTTTTCTTGGTCCGTTAGTAATTTCATATGGAAAACCCATGCGGCTTGATTGAGTAGGTTGCTACACTGGAGTTTGAGCCGCACATCTAGGGATGTGCAACATACCCCAAGCCCTACAAGGATTGCAAGAAGTTGCTCTCTTGGATTTATGGATATGTCAGGTTCTTTAGTATGATATCTACCCGCTTCACCAACCTAAACCTAGACTTGGTAGCGTATGTCTATTTATCTAGGTAGAAATGCATAAGCACAGCTTGCACTCACTATAACTAGCCAGTATGATCTTTAAAATACAAATAATGGACCTCTATGTTTTGCAAACTTGGGAGCAGACCGTTATGCAAATTACCATCTGCAAATCTTTGGATACAAACCTCTAATTTCAACTGTGGTTACCATTCTATAATTTCACTTTTCCCTCAGCAGTTCCATTAGCAATTTCCAACCAGGCACCCATTTCTCGTGATATTCTTTTAGCTAGACAGAACAAAATTTTGACCCACAAGTTTCATGTTGTCTACAACATTGATTTCATACTCTAGTTCATGCAAGCAGGACTTATTAAGTTCCACTTCTTCATCTCTGTATTTGGCAAATCTCCTTCTATCAAATCGGTCTCCAAGACAGCTGCTACAAAGGTCTATTATCTGAATTTTGGGGTAGACGGGAGCGTTTGTAAATGGGTTGAAGTACAGGAGTGTGTGTTGATTGTTCTCCCTATATTTATGCATACATTTATCAAATAATATATCATAATATGCAAAAAAGAAGATAACAAAATTATACCCTAAAGGTTTTGAATTATATTTATAGTCATGACTTATACATATATATGTATATTTCAATTGATTGTGAAATATTTTGTACTGGCCCTATCATATCTGATTCGCATGTCCTTTTACATTTGTGGAATGCTGAATAGAGTGGTCTGTTCTTGTATTTATATTCAGCACAAGTTTCAACTCAATAACTGAGCACGGCAATTGTCCTGTAAAATCTTGGGCAGATGCTAAACAGATTTTTTTAGGAGTTTTCAGAGGGTGCTGAAATGTATTTATTTGTCTTTTGATACGGTTTGTGAACATTACAGGCGCTCTCTCTGAGGGTGTGTTTGGTATGGGGATTTGGAAGGGAGGAGAGGGGAGGGG